GCAAGGCTACTGTGATCTCATGGCTAGACCCCTCCATGAGTGGAAAATGAAAATTTTTATTCAAACTGCCAGGGCTATCTCTTGGGATACAGAGAGAATAGAAAATGGTGGGGAGATTCTTGACAGTTATAGGGGTTATGTTGCAGCAGGAGGTAGGCAAGATAGCTGGAACAGCCTGAGAACTAGCATGGGGCTTTGATCTCTTGAGGCTTGTTTGAGTTAATAAGGAGCTAGATGCCCATTCTGGAGGTATTTGGCTGTAGGGGACAGATAAGGGAAGTAAGGGCTTTTCCTGACAAACAGAAACCCACTTGTCAAGGTTTCTGAGGCATGCTGGTTTAGGCAGCAATCCTTCTGTTTACCCAGTGAGAGTGCAGCCTGAACTGAGCCCAGACTGTCACTTAGGACATTGCCAGAGGAACTGCCAATTGTGGGGGTTGGATGCCCACTTTGAACCTAGCATTTATATCGTTCTCCCTGCTTTAACAGTTCTGAGGTATCTGAACTTTATGAGATCTTTAATTCATTTACAGAATTAAGTTTTGTGTGGGGCAAGATAATATGATTTCAGTGGCATTCTTCTACTTATTAATGCCCAGGTTTCTAGCACCATTAATTGAAGATGGTATCTGTCCTTTAATGTATATTTTTGGATTCTTAGTTTAAAAAAATCAGGTAGTCATAATTATTTGTACACATACCTGATTCCTCTAGTCTATTTCATTGATTTATGTGTGTTTTTTTGTGCCAGTGTCATGCTGCTTTTATTACTGGGGCTCTGTGCATATAACTTAAAATCAGGCATAGTAATGCCTCCTACAATATTATTTTTGCAAATATCCTTTGTCTTTTTTGCATCCATACATATTTTAAGGTGTGTGTGTGTGTGTATGTGTGTGTGTGTGTGTTTGTAGTATGTCCATGGGATCTTGATTGTGATTTCTTTGAATATATAGATTGCTTTTGGTAGAATGGCCATTTTCACTGTTTTGATTCTTCCCATCCCATGAGTAAGAAAAATTTCTCACTTCTTAGTGTCTTTCCCAATTTCCTTCTTCAATGTCTTAAAGTTTTGTTATAGAAGTTGTAGAAAGCTTTTTCATCAGGCTTTCTTTGGACCAACAGCCCACAAATAATGACATGGAGACTTGCTATTAATTATAAAAAACAGGCTTTTTCCAGATAGCTCTTGTAACCTAACTAACCCACAGTTTTTAATCTACATTCTGCCATCTGACTTGCTGTTGAGTCTGCGGGCGAAATCTGTGCACCTAGATTCCCCCTCCTAGTTCCTCTCTCTGCATATAAGTCCCACCTATCCTTTCATACCTAGCTATTGACCATTCAGCTTTTTATTAAACCAATTAGAAGGTGCTTTAGGCAGAGACAAATTCTTACAGTGTTCAAAAAGATCATCCCACAACAAGAAGTCTTAATCCCCAAATATTTAATTGTTTTAATGGGCATTTTGAATGGAATTATTTCACTGATTTCTTTTTAAATATACTTGTCATTAATATGAAGGAAAGCTACTGGTTTTGTGTGTTTATTTTGTATTCTTTCTTTTCTGGAGGTGTTTTTTTGTTGTTGTTCTTAGAGCTTTTTGATAGAATCCTTAGGGTCCCTCATATATAAAAACCAAGTTGTCTACAAACGGGAGTACTTTGACATCCCTTCTTATTTGTATCCCTTTTATTTCCTCCTCCCATTTTATTGTTCCAGATAAGACTTCAAGCCCTATGTTGAGTAGGAATGAAGAGCATGTACATTCTTATCTTATTCCTGATCTCAGCGGGAATGCTTTGAAGCTTTCTCCACATAGCATGATGTTGACTACAGGTTTTAGATACACAACATTTATGATATGGAAGATTGTGTATAATTCGCTGCCGAAGTGTATCAATGAGCAAGACATCCCTTACATACTGAATATGTTGAATTCCTTATGCTCTATTTAAATTGTTTCACTCAGTGTTTACAGTCTTTGTAGCTCTTGACCAATTGGCAACAAAATATTCCTCAAATTGAAAGTGTGTGTGTGTGTGTGTGTGTGTGTGTGTGTGTGTGTGTGTGTGTGTGTGTGTGTGGTCATGCTTTATATATCTGTATGAAATATAGCAACCATGTATGAGAGAAAAACATATATCTGCCTTTCTGACAGTGGTTTAATTTGCTTGATAGGATTATCTTCAGTTGTCTCTACTTTCCTACATATCACATAACTTTGATCTTCTTTGTGGCTAAAAAAATTCCACTGTGCATATGTCCTACATTTTCGTTATACATTCCTCTGTTGTTGGACACCTGCATTAGTTCTGTATGTTAGCTATTGTGAACAGTGCTGAAGTACACACTGATGTGCAGTGTCTCTGTGATATGTTGACTTAGAGTTTAGGGTAAATACCCAATACCCAGGAGTAGTACATCTGGGTCTCTGGTAGATCCGTATTTAATTTTATGAGAAACCACCATAGTGGTTGCTATAGTGACTGGACTAGTTTACATCCCCACAAGCATTAAGTAAGGCTTCTCATTTCTCTATGTCCTTGACAACATTGGCTGGGGATGAACAGAGAATCAAGGGTGTGTGTGTGTGTGTGTGTGTGTGTGTGTGTGTGTGTGTGTGTGTTCATTTACATGTGTTAATGCAGGTGCCTACGTGCTGTGGTGCATGTATGGAAATCAGAGGACAACCCTGGGTGGTGGTCCTGGCCTTCCACCTTAGGCAGGGTCTTTTTCTGTGTATAGAATAGCTGTCCTGTAAATTCACAGGTGTACTGCTCTGTCTCCACCTCTTGTCATTGTCAGAGGACTAAGATAACAAATGTGTACCATTATGCTCAGCTTTCCATGGTTCTATGGATCTGAACTCAAAATTTTATGCTTTTCTGGAAAGTGCTTGACCCACTGAGCTATCTTCTTGGCCCTTAATTTGCATTTCTCTGATAGCTTGTGAAGTTGAGCGTTTTTTTTTATATGTGTACTGACCACTTATCTTTTGGGAGTCATCTGCTTGTTTTATCAGCCTAATTACTGATTGGGTTGTTTGCTTTATTATTTAGCTTTTGCTTTCTTTGTATATTCTAGATATTAATCCCCCATCTGATATGTAAGTAGCATAGATTTCTCCCATTCTTACATGCTGTCTCTTCACTTAATTGTTTCCTCTGCTGTGCTGAAGGGTTTTAATATGATGAGGTCTCATTTGTCCACTTTTAGCCTTATTTCCCAAGTGACCAGATTTCTACTCAGAAAATCGTCCCAATGCTAATATCTTGAAATGGTTTCCCCCCACTGTTTTCTCTAACAGTTTCTGAGTTTACAGTCTTTGATTTGTTCAGATTTGATCATATACAGGATAAGAAACAGGGATTTATTTCATTCTTCTATATGTGCATATCCAGTTCTTCCTCAGCATACCATTAGTTAAAGAGGCTGTCTTCTTTTCCACTGTATATCATTGACATCATGTGACTGTTGCTGTGTATTTTTATCTGGGTCCTTTATTCTACTCACTGATCTCACTTTGTGTTTGTGCCAGTGCTGTATTTGTTATGTTGATCTGGCTTGTAGCATAACTTAAAATCAGCATTGTTTTACCTCCTCAATTATTCTTTTTGTTCCAAATTGCTTTCACTATCTGGGATCTTATGTGTTTCCACAAACCTGTAGCCCCATTGTACTAAATAGGGAAGAAAATCTCCAAACATTTCCACTAAAATCAGAAACAAGACAAGGCCGTCCACTTTTTCTCCTATTCAATATTGGGCTTGAAAGCCTTAGGTCTTAGTGGGCAGTAAGACAAGAGAAAGACAGAAACAGGAAGAGAAGAATGCCAAGTATTCCTGTTTGCAGATGCTGTAGTTCTGCATGAGACCCTGAATATTGAGAAAGCTAAACGCTTTCAGGAAAGTGGCAGGATACAAACTAACAGACAGGTTAATAACCTTCCTGTACACCAGTAAGAAACATGCTGAGAAAAAGATCAAGGAAATACTCCCATTTAAAGAGGGTGTGGGGAGGGAATAAGCACTACCAAGGAAGGAAAGACCTTTGCAATTAACCTTTAACACAGACAGACACAGAGACAAAGACAGGAGTAAAAGAAAAAAAGTCAAACAACTGAACAGGAGAGATGGTTAAGTTCCAACAAGCAGTACCTTCAAAAGTAGAGGCAAGGGCCACTTGATTTGTGGGAAAGAGGCTGAAGTGCTTATAACAGGACTGGGCTGGTGCATTGGAGATGAAGCAGAGAGGTAGGATCCAATCAATGTGAGTTTACACATAGGGCTTTTCAGTGTGCTGTCTAATGGAAGACACACAGGAAGGAAGCTCTTCACAGTCACACTAAGAGAGTTTGTGAATCAAGAACTTTTCAGGCACCACATTGGAGCTTATCATCATCCCATCTCCCCACCCCCTCGGTGTGTGTGTGTGTGTGTGTATGTGTGTGTGTAAAATTTGCTTTTCATTCCATAAACAATCAGTTTGATATGTAAAGCTTAATTCATGGAGTGAGAGGTGAGTTTTAGACACCATTCAGTGCTGGTAGGAGATAGTGGCTTGAACAGTCACAGTAGATCCCAAAAGAGTCAGTAATAGATAACATATTTTGTCAGTAGTGCTGACTTGGCTAGATGCAGAGGTAGGAGGAAATGAAGACTCATTTCATAGTAGGTGCCTACTAGGTTTGACTTTAGCCTCTGAGTAAGTCACACTGTCATTTATTCTTTGTGACAAATTTAAGACTAAGTTGGTCAGTGGGTGGAATCAGCAGTCTGATTGTCTGCTAATTACAGATGGTAAGTGAACAACTGGGGTATACTCTTTTTACTAACTCCATTCATAAAAACCTTATTACAATGTATCTGAATCCTCAATGAAATTATTGAAATTTTGTAGTATTCTAATAATGTGAACTTTTTACACTTATCTTCCATGTTGTTTTGCTTTCATTGTTTATTGTTTGAAATTGCTAACATTACTAATTGCCAATCTAGGAAAGCATAGACCTGGGCGAAATCATGTTTTCCCTTTGCTATTTGCCAACTGCTGGGCGTATGACTTTGACCGTGATCAAGTGCAGAAATCTGAAGGCAATGGACATTACTGGGTCATCGGGTGAGTACCCAGCATAGTCAATAGCACATTCCTACATAAACAATTACATATCTAAAACCGTGTGGCTTTTAATTATTTCTCTGCTATGGGATAAAACAAAAGCAGAGAGATTACAACTCAAAATGTTACATACAAATCACCTTTTTAGCTATTAAAATTACGAAATCTTTAAAAACTATTAGTAGATTGACTTTGAACTTTGATTTTGTCTTTCTTCCTTCCTTTCTTTCCTGATCTAGTCTATCTAAATGCCCAATTTATTTTGTTCTCCCAAGCTTCCAGCTAGTCTGTTTATAAAGGAAGGTCCTTAGACTTTCAGCTATGAATCAAGTTCATACAAAGATGTATAAATTGAATCTATTTCCTTTACCTGTCTGCAGAGAAACAGATAAAACATAAGCTCACCATTTGTGCTTGCATTCTTGACTGCTTTCCAGTAAAAATTTGAAACATCACAAGAAACAAACAAAAACAGTATGTCAAGAAACTCTTGAGGGAAATTTCTCTTGTAGGAAATTTGACAAAGGAGTGAAACACACGTGCTTCCTTCTCACTTCCTTTTATGGTTTTGAACATAAACTTATGTTGCAGTGTTTGCCTGGAGAATTATGAAGCAATGTAAACCAGCAGGTGTCAAAGGAGGGGGACCAATTATCAGGGAGGCATTTTACGCATATACCACTGACATCTTAATCTGGGGACTATTTCATGTGCTTCCTACTTCGTTCTGAAAGTTTTCAAATTACAGTATGAAGAAAGAGGTAGAAGAATTCGTAGGGTCAGTATATACCATTGAACATAAACAAGGCACCCAACAAGTTATTGTTCATTCTGTGCTTTTATTGTACATTTTAAGTCAAGCAGCGCTGTGTTAGAGTTGTAATGAAATTTGAAGTGACTCCTCAATTATGTGAAGCTTTTCCTCATAAGTGTCTGAGTTTGAGACTACTGTTTCGTTGTACCTCACAGCAGACATATGCATCAACCAAGGAGCCACTGATCCTGTGAAAAGCAAAGAATGTCATCAGAGATATAATGGGGAGCAGAGGGCAACAAGGCCTCATTCCCTTATTAAGATGCTGTCACCCACTCAAAAAATGTCTCCCTTAGAATAGTCTTTCTCTTACATGCACCAATATGCACATAATTCCCACATGAAAATAACTTTTGTTCCTTGAAATATACAGATACATTTTTCTAGAGTTTAAAACATACATATTTGCTCAACAAATTAAAATCTGATTCTATAGAAGTAAAAGTTAGGACTATAGGAATAGACAAAAATAAGATCAAGACTCTTGTCCCAAAGTAAGTTAATTTTAAGATGATTCATGCTGAAGGGCTCACACACACTTTCTTTTTTTCTTTTTTTTTAATTTAAATTAGAAACAAGCTTGCTTTACATGTCAGTCCCAGCTCCCTCTCCCACCCCTCCTCTTCCACTACCCCCACCAGGCTCCCAGTCCCCCACCCAATCTCAACTCCATTCCCCAGGGAGGGTGAGGCCCTCCATGAGGGATCTCCAGAGTCTGTCATTTCATTCAGGGCAGGGACTAGGCTCTCCCCCAAGACTCCAGGCTGAGAGAGCATCCCTCATTGTGGGATGGGCATCCAAAGTCTGGGATGGGCATCCAAAGTCAATTTGTATGACAGGGATAAATACTGATCTACTACCCAAGTCCCCATAGATTGTTTAGGCCTCCTTACTGACACCCACATTTAGCGGGTCTGGACCAGTCCCATGCTGTCTTCCCAGCCATCAGTCTGGGATCCAAGAGCTCTCCCCTGTTCAGGTCAGCTGTTTCTGTGGGTTAAACCAGCCCAGTCTTGACTCCTTTGCTCTTCAGTCCTCCATCTCTGTCACTGGATTCCAGGAGTTCAGTTCAGTGTTTACCTGTGGGAGTCTGACTCTGCCTCCATCAGTCACTGGATGAAGGTTCTGTTTCCCAGACTCTCTGGCAGTCACACTTTCTTATTTAGTAAAAATGAAATGCAGTGTTTCTTGCAGAGTATGGATGCTTCAACTTTAATGAAGCTACCTCCCTTCTCACAGATCCTTATGTTAAAGTGTCTTTGATGTGCGAGGGCCGAAGGCTTAAAAAACGGAAAACAACCACAAAGAAAAATACTCTCAATCCTGTGTACAATGAAGCCATTATCTTCGACATCCCTCCGGAGAATGTGGACCAGGTCAGCCTGTGCATTGCCGTCATGGATTATGATAGGTGAGTTGAGGCTGCTGGCCCTGATGCAAACCTTCAAGTTGTCATAGCCAGATCACATCTGTTTCTAGGTTACTCACTGTTACAGCAGATTGAACTTATTAAACAATGGGGCAATGATTCATGAGAATCTTCAGTTACAGTTTTGCTTTGGTTTCACTTCCAAAGCAGTATTTCTTAAAATCCACCTGTAGCTGAAAAATGAGTGAGTCGGGAAGTAGCCATGAAGTTCCTGACACGCAAAAAAATCTATGTAGAAGTCTTTCTTCAGATTAACCAATACTGCAACCCAGAGTTGGCTTCACTAGAGGGGCTACCACACAAGGATAGTGGTGCTCACCCCAGCTCTAGAATGAACTGGCTTTGAGAACCAGGGTGTCTTTTAGATTCACTTTCTCTACTGGGAAGCTGTTAACGTGCTGTGTAATGTGGGCGATGATGGGATTAGAAGATGCATAGCATGTGCTCGATGCTTTTATACATTGCTTTGTTGATAACTCTACCACTTGTGTAGAAAATGAATATAAAATGCCTAAGAGAATACACACTGAACTATGAGGAGTGGTAGTAATTTGCCATTCAGTGTCTCAAAGCCAGCCCCTAAAAATAAAAAAACAAGTAATGATTTTTCTGATCTATTTGAGTTTATATTAAAGGGAAAACACCTATGATGATTTTTCATTGGTAGAAAAATCGGTAGAATTATCCCACACTTCAAAGGTTAAAAATGTTATAAATGTTTTTGTATCACCCTATTTTGCTTTAGCACTTACCCCTATTGACCTCTAAAAGCAGTGAGTTTGGGTGGATACAGGTGAGCACATCATCAACCCAAAGTTAAGGAAATAGATCTTAATACCACATAAATCAGGAAGACAAAAATCATTTCTCCAAATATCCCTGCTGAGAAACTTCATATTAAGATGAATTTACAAGGAGAAGACCAGAAAAACATACTGGAGCATCCTAAAACCATGCCCAAAGCCTCCTCAGAGGTGACTCTATAGAAAGTTTTTCAGGCTCTTCCAATTACACTCTACTTCAAGAAACAATTTATGAAGGAAGTTGTGATGACAGAGACATGTAGCCTTAACACTCAGCAGGCTCATATCAGCTACAAAGTGAGTCTGAGGGTAGCCTGGGCTGCATGAGACCTGGTCTCAAAGAGATTAACAAGAAAGACCCAGCTTGTCAGGTGTTGCCTTGCCTCAACTGATGAGACCCAACTTCTGCCATTGACTCTTGGGAACTCTCTGGGCATCCAGTTTGTTTATGAAATGGGATGATAATAATGTTATCCAGAATCAGAGCCGTGAGCTTAGGATTGATTATGTCATTAAACTCAAATACTTGGACATAGTGGACTCTCAAAAATATTAGTTAACCCCAGTCCCAGTGGATATACATCTATAGAACACTCCCACACCTAAGGCTCAGGGAACATTGCAGAAGAACAGATCGAAAAATCACAAGAGCCAGAGGGCCAGGGAACTTGCTGTGAGACTGTCTCCTAGTAATGTCAGAAGCTACACTCATGAAATATCAGCAACATGACTACCTAAATGTGTGACTACACCAACAGACATGCCAAAGTGAATAGAAAAGAGCATATGAGGCTCCAACCCCACACAAAGAACTATAGGTGACTGAGGAAAACTGAGAACAGAAAAGGTGGTCCTCCCCAGGGAATGTCACCTGGTCGATCCTGGAAACATACATACAAGTAACATTCTATAGACTAAAGAGCTTACCTTTAGGAATATAGGTATGTCTGAACATATACCTATATGCATACAATAGCAATTATTGAAAGGAGAGGCCATGAATGTGAAGGAGAATGGAGAGTAGTCTATGAGATTGTTTGGAGGGGCAAAGGGAGATATGGTGTAATTATATTTTAATATCAAAAAAGTAAAAATAAATATTAGCCATCATTTTTATTGGTTGCAGTAAAAACGGGGCATAAATAGAAAATAGCAATGTCAAATAGTATGCTTTGTTATGCAGTCATAAATCATAGTGGTGGGAGTAAACATAACCCTGCCCCACTTAATTATATTGCCAGCAATAGCATACTTATTCATATAATTTTGAGTGAGTAAAATAGAGACTATTATACAAGAAAGGGGCACTGTCCTCTTTGCATACCGTCAAAACATCATTACAGAGCAAGCCTTGTGAAAGCAGTACTGCAAAAGTGAGGGGTCTGGTGGTGTTCTCCATGCACGCGTTTTCATTGCCAACGTTGCAGAGAGTTGAACTGGTTTGTCACTTTTTATGTAAGTTCATTTTGGATGTTGATGTTCTTTAGTTAACTATCTTTGGGTCTTGTTTGTTTGCTTGTTTTGAGACAAAATACCATGTACCCCAGGCTGGCCTCAAAGCTTCCTCTGTAGATAACTTGAACTTCTGATCCTCCTGCCTCCACCTATCAGTCATGCCCCACACCTAGCCTAGTTAATTTTTACTTAGGGACATTCATTTAATTGAAACTAGTACACAACAATCCCTTCTCTGTAGGGAATGTTCCATCATGTTCCATAGATAGTGGAAACCAAAGACAGTAGTGAGTCCCATATATTCTGTTCTTCCTACATGTACAGATCTTCGTAAAGCCTACTTTATAAATTGTGTACAGAAAAAGATTACCAACAATGAATACTAAAATAGGATAATTATAGCAATATACTATATAAAGCATTATTTAATATTAATGTGTTATTTGTTTCTAGAACTTTTCATTTGATATTTTCAGACAGTGATTGGCCATGGATCACTGAAAGTACAAAGAGCAAAATCTGGGTCTGCAGAATCTGTCACTTTTGATGATGTAATGAAATGTAGAATATTCCACTTATTTTGAATTATAACAGAGAAGGTATGCTATTTCACAAATCCTAGGGTGGGACACAATGAGGTCATAGGCGTGTGTCGAACTGGACTAGATGCTGAGGGTCTTGGACGAGACCACTGGAATGAAATGCTGGCCTACCACCGAAAACCGATCACACACTGGCATCCCTTGCTGGAGGTAAGGATGGGATGTTGCATCTGCCCTCAGTTATATTGCAGTTACTTAAATATTTCATATCTGCTAACTTTCACTTGACATTTCACTTATTCACCTTTCAAAAACTGTTCTTGCTTTTGTTTCAGTCTCTAACATCATCTATTCAAAGTGCTGTGTGCCTTGAGGGATTTTAAAAAACCACTAGATGTCTGTCTGAGGCTTATAGTGGTGATGCTGAACACAGTGTAGCATAGATTGACTCAATATGAGATCATAACAGCTGTGTCCATGCCTGAGTTATGTTATTAAGGATGAGTACCTGTTTTTACTTAGAACTATTAATCAATGTTAGTCTACTGGACTAACTTTGCTGGGCTGAATGCCTTTCTTTCCAATGAAAACAGTTGCTGGACCTCCAAGAGCCACATTGTAAACTGAGACATAATTTGTTCACAGAAGGATGAAGGACTTTGTTAATTTCCATAAAATTAATATTTAAATAGCCACAAATAAATAATAACAGCCTTTTTGAGGAGTAAGTTGAAGCTTTCTACTGTAAGTTTTGGTTTTAAAATGGGAGAGACTATCCACTGTAACTGGCTGAATGTATCAGTAGGACTGGGTTTCAGTCTTAGTTTAGTTACAAGAATGAGACCATGGCTGTGTTATTCACAACATTTTGTGGAAACTGGGTGAACATATCATGTTCAGGCCTTGAAAGTAAACTTCCATCACAGATCCTATTTATACATAAACGTCCCAAAACTTTGCTTGACCTCATAATTTAACGTAAATCATAAGACACAGACACATACATAGACAACACAGATACAAATACATATACAAACATACACAGACACACATACAACAGACATGCACACATGCAAAGACCCACAGACACCCACATGTACACAGACCTACATTTTTACAGAGCATATACACACAGACATATAAACACATAGACATATACATGTGTTATTTTAGTTACTTTTCTTGCTGTGAAGAGATACCATAACCAAGGCAATATATAAAAGAAAGCATTTCATTGTATCTTATGTGTAGGGGTTACAATGGGTCTTATGTACAGGGGTTACATTGTGTCTTATGTACAGGGTCTTATGTCAGAGGGTTAGTCCATGATTATCACTGTGGGAAAAATGAAGACAAGCAGACAGGTAAGCAGGATGCTGGAGCAGTAGCTAAGAGCTTCCTTCTGATCCATAAGCACACAGCAGGGAGAGACTGGGGTAACCTGGTGCAGACTTTTGAAACACCAAAGTTGTGACACATCCTCCAACAAGGCAGCACCTCCTATTCCTTCCTAAACAGTCAACCCTCTAGGAAACAAACATTCAAATATATGACCCTATGGGACCAATTTTCATTCAAACCACCACACACATATAGACAGACATACACATACACACATACAGACACAAACACACAGGTACACACACATACATAGATACATAAACACACAGACACACATGTGCACACACACATATACAGACATATATACATATATAGGCACAGACAAATACCTACAAACAGACATGCGCACACAGAAATAAACAAAAACTAACACACCTACACAGACACATAATCATGAATATAATACATGGATGTATACACATACATAAACACATACACACAGGCATAGATATACAGAAACATACAGACACACTACACATATATACACATAAATGCACACACATCACATATATACACAAAAATACATACATGCACACATGCATGCATGCACAATCACAGAGTATTCCTTAAAACTTTCAGCAGTAGAGACAGGTGTATTTTCTGGATAACTCAACACTTACTAAAGTATATTTTATTGGGTCTCAGTGGTAAGTACTGTCTAAAACACACTTCACTGCTTGTTATATAATTGTGCTCTTTTCCCTGGGTCTCATTCTTTTAGTTTGAAAGGGAGCCTAAGCTCGAGAACATAGAAAGGGAAAGAACACTTTGCTACACAGGGAGCCACACTGAATGGAGATATTGACTCTGCTGATTGTTCCTCTGATACCTCATCTTTGAGAAGCTATGTGCCCGTCCATGCTAATGAGATGCAAGGAGAAGTGAGAACATATGAGCAAGATTTAAACAAGCATAAAGAACAGCATATAGTCTTAAATATACTAAATATACCTATACATATATATATGCATATAAACACGAAACTGTTTTCTGATAAAGAACTGTAGTTTGTATTAAGACCAAGAATAGAAGAGCCCTTTTCAGTCCCCTGTCTAGGAACACGGGACATAATGCCATTAGATCACAGATAGTTTTCTAGTAACTAAATTAGGGGCAATTGATATTTAAAGATGAATGTACTTTCCTCTTTTTCTCATCCCCTATGTCTCTATTCAGTGGACAAACAGATTATATGGGCCACAGGCATATGCCCAGCCTAAATTTAGCATTACAGAAAAAGTAAGAGTGAAATTATAGTTTTCTTGTTAGAGAAGGAATAGTTATTATTAAAGTAGTAGTTATTCACGAGCTGAATAAGTTGGTAGGCAGAGGTGAAAGCCTCATTTAGAAAAACCTGCTTACTGCAACTTGATTAATCAAACTTCATTAATCTCTTGAAATAGACATGTAATGATCATGAGAATTACTCTTGTCACTTGGGATTGCCACCTGGTTGCCAATGACCTTTTCAGTTTATGAATTCCCCAGATGAAAACCTGTTCCTGCTTCAAAGCAAAGGGAACACAGCCTTCCTGTGATAAAGCACCAAGACCAAAAATGACCTCTGGCAAAAAGAGCTTCTTTTTGACTTATGGTTCCAGAGGAACTGCCATATGGTAGAGAAACACCATGGCAGGAGGCCAGAGCAGGAAACAGAGAGGGCCCGTTTTTATCCACACACAGGAAACAGAACAAACCTGAAGAGGGGCTCTGAGGCTATACACCCTCAAAGTCCGCTCAACAAGGCTGTCCCTTCCAAAGGCCCCAGGAGCTTCCCAAATAGTCCTCAAATATGTGAGCCTATAGGGACCATTTCTCATCCAAACTAGCATAAGTCTCTGATGTCTACAGCTTCTTGTTGCTCATACCCATAAAGCTTTGGGCCCTTCTAAAGCCATAAAAGTTACTGTGAGACATTCTGTGTACCTTTTATATTCCAAGCTCTGTGTGTTACAGGAAATATTTGTCTTTTCTCTCTCTGCCTCAGAAGGTAAGCTCTGAAGAATGTGGAGGTTATAGAAATCTCTTCAGGGATTTACAAATTGTGTGTGAATATCCATAATTAATGGAGATACACTCTTGTCATTATGTGTTTTTTCTTCATTGGGTCAGATATTATGAAATTCCTATGTTTCAGCTACCTGGTCGGGCAACCAGCTTTGACAGTCAAGGATCCTGCTCTTCTCCAAGGCCACCGTCCACACCATAAAACCTCCAAATAAGACCATGTCAGAGAAAGACTTAGAATCACGAGCTCATCCAATCAGACACATACACAAACATAGAACATTTGACTTCTTCATTTAAAATATACCCATGATAATGAATAGTGTGATGTATAATTTCTTTTTGTTTTACCTCTTGGTTTATTTTTTGTTTTTAACTTTGAGCATATCAATACATTTTACCTGAGTATTAATGGTCCTTAGTTACATAAGGTGTTTTATATTTCATGTCATCTATTAGCACCATGTTTTAACATGTTTTAATCTTTGCTTAAGCAAAGAAATAAGGTTTTTTTGACAAGAGACTCCACATGTGTGTAAAATTAGTTTATGCCTGTGTTGTATGAAATAGTAAAATGTGTCATTTCCAACTGTATACATGGTTCTATGTAAACTTTGATGAACATACTTAAATTAATTCTACAGGATCAACTCCTTCAAATTCTAATTAATGTCACTTGCCTGATAATAGTTTTTTCTTCATAATCAGCATTTTTGTCACTGAGGTTTGTCCCTCAAGCTTCCTTTTTGAGACACTCAGCTAAGCTGCAAAATGAAAAGAAATTTTGAATATAAATGTACAAAGTGACATTGAGTAGCTGGTAAACGAGGCTACCAGCTAACAATGTCTTGCTGTCAACATTAGTTCCAACACCTGCTGTACCGCTTACTTGGTAGTTTTAAAACTTCTAGTCATCTTCACCTCAAGTGTTGCAATGGTTTCCCTAAGTGGCTACAGTCGTAACTATGTTCTCCCATACAGTAGCGTGTCTGTTCTGTAACTTGGGACTGTCATGTGGCCCTTTCGCTTTTGATGGATCGCACTGAACAGAAACCAAAGGTCCAGCAAAACTCTCAGTGCCATGGTCCTTTAGATAGACAGCTGATGACTCCATCCACTCAGGAGCACATCTCTAGAGCTGGAGAGTCTCCAGGAAAGCTCACCAAAATACAGATGTGTGTTATGAATGGTACAATTTTAACACTTAATAAAAACAAATAACATGCCAAAGGACCAGACAGCCAGTCATTTAAATAAAAGGCATTGATCTTCATAGGGATTAATGATCAGACCATTAGAGGTAAAAACTATGCAAACGCTTTTGTTTTTACAAGAGAGAACTTTCTTTGAAATCAGGTCAGCTTTTTATTGTCTCATTTGAAGACCCCATTGGAAGGAATCTATATGGAATTGCTCTAACCTTACTTTTGAGGTGTGAGCATTTAAAGTTTATTCCACAACAAGGTTTTTTAAAGAGAAAAATTTATATTTGGAATTTTAAAACAAGTTCATTAGGATGAGAAAGTTTTAGACAATGACTTTTTTATATTTGTAAAATCCCTTGTTTCAAATATTAGGAAATATATTTAAAAGTCTTGAAATTTCTCTCATAAAGGTTCAGTTAATGTTAACATGGATGTAAACATGTCTCAAATTAATATTTTCAGTGTAAATTCAATTCTGCCTAAAACTTTTCAAAACTGCCTATGGCAAACTAATGAAAACACACCGCTAAACTTTTTCTCATTAAAAGTCAAAGAAATCTGTCTGAAAACACTCGACTGTCCTGTCAAGGCAAAACAAACAAACAAACAAAAATAAACCCTACTCATTACGGAGTGACTCAAGATAACAACTAATCTTGATGTCTTTGTTTTACTGTAAAATACAAGCTGTTAAATGGAAAGAAAACCTTAGAATCTTAGTGTGGTAACATTTAGGGAGATGTTTTATCAGTAGATATAGCTGTGACATTTCTTAAGTCAGTAAAGTGTGCATTTTCACTCAAAATGATATACTCCTTGCAAAACTACAGCTAATTTCCTAAAGAGAACAAGCTAAACCTCCTGATGAACAAAAGGAAACTGTCAGATAACCAGAATGTTTTAAATAGGAAGGCAAGCAGATGACAAATAGATTGGAAAATTTTTAAACCCAAAATTGCACGAGAATTAAGTCATGTGTTTCTTATGAGAATTACGTCAATGCATCTGCTAAACCTATGAAAGAGATCAAAGAGAAAATTCACGACTTTCAGCTAATATGTGAGAGTTCTCTCTCAGTCATACACAAAATTCATTAGAACAGCAGTACATGCTGAGAAAATACAACCCTTCTCTGTCTTACACAACACCCCCTCATCCTACCTATCCACACACAGAAACTTCTCTCTGCTTGTGGGGTACTGTGAGTTTCTCAGTATTTAAAATACGATTCAGTGTTCTAGATGCCCTCCACTAACTTGTGGGACGGCATGGACTAATGCAGGCCGATGCGGCATGAAGCTGTAATTTAAGTATACAATAAAGTCCTGATTTCAGGGACGCATTCAGGGACTTACCAATATATGCATCTAGGAAGAAAGATTCAGTGTTGCCCGATGGGCACGGCAGCACGGTTGCTAAGTACACTGAATATGAAAGACAAAAGTATGTGTCTAGTGCACAGTCTTTTCACAAAACCAGCAGCTGATTCATTTGGAGTTTTGATTTGCTCCTCATTGGGTGTCCTACATTCAATTTTAGTTAAAAGGTCCAAGAATGGTTACTGGCTCTTGAATGCATTTTCCTCCATGGTTGTTGTTTTCTTTCTCAGGCTAACCTGTGTTGCTGGTACTTCACAAGTAAAACTCACCATATTAATACACGGTCAATTCAGAAACTAACGTTAGGACAAATGCCAGGGAAGTCATGGGAGGAGGCAGAGCCAACCATGTACCTTCATGTAGTTTTATGGTGTGTGCACATGCTAGCTACCACAGGGAGCTCACAAATGATCAATACTGACTCAGGGTTTATATTAGAGCAAATGTATTTGAGCTATTTGGTTGTGATATTTCATTGATATTCACAACTGTGTTTGTTCTCCTGTAGCATTTATTCTTTTCAAAGTTTCCAGACTCAATAAAGAACTCTCAAAATTCCATTCCCATGTTAACTCTACCATCTGTAATACAGAATATAATTTATTCCAGAATGAGATGTCCCAGCAGCCAGGGATTAATACAATAAAGGAACATAAACACTGAACACAAATCAATTTCTTTCTACCTCTTCAAAAAGACTACTTGATATTATTCTTGAGCAGAATTTGTCTGATTTTTGTCATAATAGCTGTGATAGTACCAACCAGTTTAATTGCAAGTAGTTAGAAAACCAGGTTGGTAGGGCCTTGAGAAACCATTCAGTCTCTTTGTTAAATGTAAAGAAAGTGAGACCTTGTGTCGCAACTTGGTCTTACAACAATTACAGTTTTTCCAAGCTGACCTAGTTGGTTTCAATGCTTGTAGTATTTAGACTAAAAGTGCACTGCTACCAACAAGCAGATTTTTTAAAACCTGAAAATAAGATAATTTAAAGAAACCACATAGTGAAAAAGATATTAAAGTAAAGGAAACAAAGATATTTAAATGTTGAAAGGGGAATGCCTTTGTATTTTAAGTCTTAGTGGGCAATAAATTCTCCAACAATGTTTCAAGACTCCACGACTCATCATTTAATCAATACTCAGAGACATGGCTCAGGGTACAATTTATCTGAACCTGCTGTAAGGACCTAATATTTTGGAGAAAATGAGTTTAATGTTTTACTTTGGAAAAAAAGAGCTGATTAAATAAAAATGCTATTTCTAAAACATTATCTCCTAGGTATTCTATTAGATAAGAATTTTCTTTCACCAAAAGATCAATATGTATCCAATAATCTGTCAGTTAAGATTAAGGTAACTACTTATCATCTACCACTAACAATTAATCAAAAAGATATGTATTTGAACAGCGGTATTGCACATTTGATCAAAATGCATTTAATTGTATTTCATCAAAATGTAGTTAAATAATTATTTTCCTTTCATCATGTCTATCATGTAACTAAAAGAAGTTTGATTTGGTAGTATAATAGTGCTGTGCTAAAGAGATAGAGAAAAATCATTCAGTGAAGGACCCAGATAAGCCTTAATGATTTACTTAATGAAAACATTTGAATAGTAAAAAAAGTGACTGAAAAAAGTAAGTAAAAGATGTTTAAGAGAAATAATTGTATTTTATATGTCTGAGATGATTAAATACACTCTCCCAGGGTGAACTATTTATGTAAATCCTATTTTTATCTCTATTGTGACAAGAAATACAGTTGCTCTTGATATATTTATATGGAAGTGTTTTAATCTCAAGCCTACAATAATTTTTGCTGTAGACCATGAGACCCTTTTGCAAACAGTGAAACTATGTCTGATTGTATCACAGAGGGTAAAAGTAAACCATTGTCTTCTGATGTTCTGTTGAGTTGCATCTACTGTACACAGAATGCCCTACTTACTGAACATGGGATTGTATTTTAATTATGCAACCAAATGGGGATTTTGTTTCCTGAAGATAATTTACTAGATATTGGTGCAGTTTACAGATGTGAGTCAACACATCTGTAACAACTCACTAAGAATAGGTGTTGATGTTGCAAAGTTAATGTATGAAATGGTGAGATTCACTGGGTCTTTCCACATTGCTTCCTCTGTCCTCATCTGAGCATTAAGACAGGAAATTATAGCTTTCCATGATTTGCTGAAAACCTTGCACACCCCCAAATAACTTCCATCCCCAAGATTATGTAAGACAACAAAATAATCATTCTCTATAAATATTTTTCATTAATATTTGCTGTTTTCTTGTAAAGTCCTTTTAAGCTTTGCACTTAAAAGATTGTAATAGTATCAGTGTGAAGAGCTGACTGCATAAAGAGAAGCCAGTGAAACACCAGTATGTAAAATATTTGCATTTCTAGCTTGTTCCTTCAACAAAGAGTGCAACAAGTAGGTTGTCAACATTAGCTGTTACTAACTCAACAGAGCAATGACTGGGTTCACATTCAAATATGGAGAAACCACAGAACACTATGAATTCAGAATTAAGATAAGTCAACTAGAAAAGAACTGGCCCCCATAGTAAACGTGATGGTTCCTCTAACTCCCTTACAAGTCAATAGTTGCTGCGTACACTGATAGGAAATGCTAATGTTTTTCTTCCTACAGAGCCTCAGGCAATTTGAATCCATCATAGTTCATCGTTTTTTTGGATACCTTTAAGTCATTGTTCTTAATGTAACTTTTCAAGTGAAGTTTGCAATTTAATGCTTAGCCTTTGTTTAAGTCAGTATCTTTGACTTCTACATTATAGAATAGAAATTGAAGTCTTGAAATTTGCGTCTCTGACTTTTGTACATTATGAACAGTCATTTGTGAACCTTGACATCTTATCATCATATTACTTAGAACAAATGTTTCTGTAAACCCTCTGAAAGATGTTGCACATTGTATTTTGGTATTCTTACTATGTCTTCTTTAGAGTGTGTGAACATATTTGTCAGGATCAGATGAATTATGTAACAAAGAAACCTCAAAGCTGTTGTGAAGGAGAGTTCATAATTACTTTTGTAAAAGAAATGGAAACGCACTTGAAATATGATCTTACTGTTTCATATGTATTTTAAAAAGAAATAAAGTGATTATAAATAATTTCACATTACTAAAAAAATTCCTTTTCCAGATTTAATTTTGCAAAATAAGAGTGAAGCTTTTCTTGATCGTGAATCAAGCATAGTTTCCAGTTGCCTTTAGTACTAAGGAGAGGACAGAAAAGCACAGCACTCTTCTGTGCCATCATAAGTGACTCTGTAACAAAGCACATTTTACTAAGAGAAGAATATAAGAGGTTGACTGTAGCTGGGTCCTAACAGATGGAACTCTGTGAAAAGTAAAACAGTTTGAACTTTGACCTTACTCTAACAGACACAAAAGAAATTAATTCCATGTATACACCCTCTGCCCTGCTCCTCCAGTCCCACAATTGATTCCAAGCGGACCCCATAGTCTATTTCCCTTTGCAGTGGCTTTGGAAGACCAGCTTCATCCCCTGCTCACTGCCTCTCTATTCCCCTCACCCTCCCTCCCCCCCTCCCTGCCACTTCCTCAAAACCTCAATTCTTGTTTGTTTACCTAGATTTTCCATTTTGAGGCACATGGATCTCCCAGGGAAGGTAAAAACAGAATAGAACTGGGAGTGAGGAGAGATGGGAACAGCAGGGATCAGGTAAGGGGTTATGGGAAGAGTTGAATGGAATTGGGGGGTCAATGTGGAAACATGCAACAGGAACTCCATGGAATCTACGAGGGTGACCCTAGTGAAGAGTGAAGATAATGGGGGATACGGAACCTGAATCAGCCATCTTCTGTAACCAGGCAAGGCTTCCAGCGGTGAAACTGGGACACCAACTCAGCCACAAAACCTTAACCTACAATTTGTCCTGCCTGCAGGAGGTCCTGGGATAATGGTGGCAGAGAACTTGTGGGAGTGGCCAGCCAATGTCTGGTTCAACTTGAGGCCACTGGCACAAGAGGGAGCCCATGCCTACCTAACACTACCTAGACAGCCAGAAACCAGAGGCTGGATAGCCCAGAGACCTAGGATAGAATCAAACATAACTGGCAAAAAAAAAAGTTAATGAAAAAATGACTCCTAATGATATTCTGATGTATTCATAGATCAGTGCCTGACCCAATTCTCATCTACCAACTGATGGGAGCAGATGCAGAGACCCATAGGCAAACACTAGGCAGAGCCAGGGGAACCATGAAAAAGTAGGGGAGGAAGGATTGTAGGAGCCAAAAGGGTCATGGACACTATGAGAATTAACTAAGCAGAGTTCATAGGGGCTCACAGAAACTGAACACACAATTCAGTATGGGTCTAACCTAGGTCCTCTGAATATATGCTACAGTTGTGTAGCTTAGTCTTCTTGTGGGACTCCTAACAATGGGAGTAGGTGGTGTCTCTGACTCTTTTGCCTGCTTTTGGAACCCTTTTCTTGCTACTGAATTTCCTCATCCAGCCATGATATGAGGGTAAGTGCCTAGTCTTATTGTAATTCATTTTGCTGTATTCATTTGAAATCCCTAGGTCTGCTCTTCTCTGAAGGGAAATGGAGGAGAATGACAGTGGGGGAGGGGGGTGACTGGGAAGAGTGGAGGGAAAAGAAGCTGTTGTTGGAATGTAATGTATGAGAGAATTTTTTTAAAAATCACTTCTTGCAGGAGGCCTCTTCTTTTTTAACTTTTTTCTTAAAATTTTTTTCATTTTATATACCAGCCCCAGTTCCCCCTCCCTCCCCTTCTCTCATCCCCCACCTCCCCCATCCCATCCCCCATCCACTCCTCAGAGAGGTAAGGCCTCTCTTGGGGAGTCAACAAAGTCTGGCATACCAAGTTGAAGCAGGACCAGTCTCCTCCCCATTATATCAAGACTGAACAAGGTGTCCCACCATAGGGAATGGGCTCCAAAAAGTCAGTTAGTGAACCCAGGATAAGTCCTGGTCCCACTGCCAGGGGCGCACCAACAGATCAAGCCACATAACTGTCACCCACACTCAGAGGGCTTAGTTCTGGCCCGTGCTGGTTTCCCAACAGTCAGACCATAGTCAGTAAGCTCCCACTAGCTTAGGTTAGCTGTCTCTGTGGTTTTCCCAATTATGATTTTGACACACACACCCATAACCCCCTCTCCCACCTTGTTCATATGACCCCTCCTCCCTCTGTCCAACTGAACTCCAGGAGCTCAGCCCAAGGCTTGGCTGTGGGTCACTGCATCTGCTTCCATCAGTTACTGGATGTAGGTTCTATGATGACAATTAGGGAAGTCACTAATCTGATTGCAGGGGAAGGCCAGTTCAGGCACACTCTCCACTATTGCTAGGAGCAGGACAGTGTCTTCTAAAAGAAATTTTTTTAATTAAAAGGAAGGGAGAGATGACAATAAGGGTTGGATCTGTGAGGAGCTGGGAGGAAGAATGGGTATGAATATGATCAAAATATATTGTATAAAATTCTCAAAGAACTAATAAAATACATTATTAAAAAAAAACATTCAATTCTCAGATTTCTACAGACCTTCCTGTTTAAACAGCTATCCTTAACAAGGGTGAAACAGTGAGGGATATCCTTCATTTTCACATTCCTTTCTCCCTCTCTGACCAGATTGTACCATCACTTTATGCTGATACTAAGGCATTGCAGCACACCTTACACTCCTACAATCTGTCTTTACAGAACATTTATGTTATTTGTTCCTCTACCATGCCGAAATGAAAAACCCACATCTAGGCTTTGGCACTGGCTTTTGCAGACTCTCCATATCCAGGATCTCTACTTCACCTGTCTGGAAAGAAGATAGCCTCTTTACCAACCCTAAGTAGAATCACCTTGACTACTCCCTGATCTGGTGTGTGTGTCTCACTTCCTTTTTCTGATGCAGCGTGTCTATCAAGACAGGATCAGATTCAAGAAATTATATAGAAGCTTTCATGAAGTGCCTTGCAGACTATCTCCTTTAAAATACTAATCTAGAACCTGCCTCTAAGCCAAGAAGACTGTCCTTGTATGCCAGCTTAATCACCCAGTCCTCCCTGAACATTAGTGGGGAGTGAAAGACCTCCAAGAACTAGAGGATGTTAGGAGGATGTTAGATTGGCATCTTAGTTAGGGTTTCTACCGCTGCAGGAAAACACTATGATCAAAAAAAGCAAGTTGGGGAGGAAAGGATTTATTTGGCTTACACTTCAGCATTGCTGTTTATCACTGAAGGAAGTCAGCACAGGCACTCAGACAGGGCAGGATCCTGGAGGCAGGAGCTGATGCAGAGACCACGGAGGGGTGCTGCTTACTGGCTTGCTTCCAGTGGTTTGCTCAGCCTGTTTTCTTATAGAACCTGGGAAAAAGCAGCCCAGGGATGGCACCACCCACCATGGACTAAGACCTTCCCCACTGATCATTAAATGAGACAATGCCTTACAGGAGAATCTCAAGGAGGCATGGCATTTCTTTAGCTGAGGCTGCTTCCTCTCTGAAGACTCTAGCTTGTGTCAAGTTGACACACTAAAGCAGCCAGCACAATTGGTTTTGATGGAGGTGGTATGGAAATAGAAGCAGACAGTCATTTCCAGAAGCAGAGTCGTCCTTTAGTCAGAACGACTGGAAAGCCACAGACTCTCTATGGAATCGAGACGATGCACATGTAGTGTGGTGGCGTTGGGGCTTTATAGGATGGCAAAGGGGGGAAACGTGGAAACAGAAAAGTCTGTCTGAAGGTCGGTTCCCCTGCAGTGGGGGCATGGTTGATCCCAGCTCGTTTGCTATGTGGGTCTCCTGATTAGAAGTTTTCACGGGTGTTGTCAGTCAAGTCAGCTTTCTTTTCCAGAGCTTCTCAGCCCACCTGAAGTTGTCAGGTAATTAATCCTTCATTCCAGATCCTGAAGACAAACAAAAAGAAGAGGGATGTTGGGTTCTCTCATTGGCTACTTCCTGAGGGTGGGTGAAGGTGGAGGAAGAGGCTAGGCTCTGTCCCCAAGATCTAAGGGGACAGAGGTTGGATTGATTCATCTTGGTTTTGTCTTGGTCAACTGCGCATTGTATCATGCTATTCCCATAGTGATCTCATAGAGAAACCCCTAAAATAATCATTAGAGGGCTTATAATGATGATTTGGTCACATTTGAACCATATTTTAATTTAGTCCTTCTGAATAAGTCTATTACCTGGTGTATTAAGGTTCTCATGGTTGCTACTCCCTCCCACCAGTAACTCTTCCTGTTCTTTTTTAGGCCTCCTTTTCAGTTTTCCAGGTGACATCGCAGTGACCTTTGAGTTATGCACTCCATCACTTGACTCTCTTCTTCTGCACAGGTCACAGAGAGGGTCAGGCTGTTCCTCCTACATGACTCCTGTTTGCCATCACATTTGCAGCCTCTAGTTTTATGTCTCCCAAGATCCTGTTCTCTACCTTGTACTTGGCTTTCACCTTATTTCTAAATTTGTCTCATTTGCTTTCTTTTCTCCTTCTATTACACTTGCCGAAGTCTTCAAGAAAAATGATTAAAATTTTCTGGGACCATGAATGCTGTGTATTGGGTACTTTGAGAATTTTGTGTGCCTCTGGGTTGACTTCCCCCTTGGTTCAGTGAAGCAGCAGGCATCCTGGGTGAATTGAAATTGGTGTGGGCTTCTGTAGCCACTTGGCAGAAGCTAGAATCAACTGGGAGATGCCTCTGGGTATTTCTTCTGGGAATTATCCTGATTATACTCACTTATGTGGAAAGACCTGTCTACTGTGAGTGGGAGCATTCCCTGGGCAGGTGCTTCACCCCACCTTCTGAAGCCTTGACTTCCCCTCGCTGATGGACTATACCCCAAATTGTAAGATGAAATAACCCCTCCTTTTTAAGTTGTTTTTATTATTCAAATGAAATAGATTCTCGGCATCAATGGACCCACTGAGCCCTGGGAGGAAGTTCATTCTAATGCTGCTCCCCTCAAGAAGCTTGAAGATCAATTTCTTCAGATGTTCTCCACAACTCAGTGTCTTTACTCTCTGACATTATAAAACGTTCCTTATCTGAGGCGAACAACGCTATTATGTAAAGTGATGTTGAGCACTGTCAATCCTGTCAATCCTTGCTTTCCTGATA